AGAGACAAGCAACTCCCATGAGAAGTCTGATTGATTCCAGTCTGGCTACAGGAGCAAAAGTCTCATCAAAATAAACCCCTTCAACTTGAGTGTATCCTTGAGCAACAAGCCTTGCCTTATTCCTGGTGACAACTCCTTCAGCATCTGACTTGTTCTTGTAGATCCACTTTGTGCCAATGATGTTTGTTCCTTCTGGTCTAGGAACTAACTCCCATACTTCATGTTGCTTGAACTGGTTCAATTCATCTTGCGTTGCTCCAATCCAGTATTCATCAGTCAAAGCCTCTTTAACATTTTTTGGTTCAATCTTAGACACAAAACAAGAGTTTGTGATGATTTCTCTAGATCTTGTAGTGACTCCACTGTTAGGATCTCCTATGATGAGTTCCTTAGGATGATCTTTCTGAATTCTGATGGAAGGATCTTTGTTAGCTTCCTTTGATTCAGACTCTGATGGAGTAGGATTAGGCACATCATCCTTTTTAGACACTTGTCTTGAAGTCTCAAAGAATGTCTCAACATCATATGGGACATTTTTTTCCTCATGGTGATCATCAATTATGACATTTATAGACTCCATCATAACTTTGGTCCTGGAATTGAACACCCTATATGCTCTGCTGTTGGTAGATTATCCTAGGAATATTCCTTCATCACTTTTAGGGTCCATCTTTCTCCTTTGTTCACGATCTGTCAGAATATAGCATTTGCTTCCAAAGACATGGAAGTACTTCACTGTAGGCTTTCTTCCTTTCCATAGTTCATAAAGGGTGGATGATGTTCCCTTTCTCAAGGTAACCCTGTTGTGGACATAACAGGCTGTATTCATAGCTTCAGCCCAAAAATGAAAAGGAAGCTTCTTGGCATGTATCATTGCTCTGGCAGATTCCTGTATAGTCCTGTTTTTCCTTTCCACAACTCCATTTTGTTGAGGATTTATAGGTGAAGAGAACTCATGATTGATTCCTTCTGAGGAACAGAACTCATCAAACTTACTATTTTCAAATTCCTTACCATGATCACTTCTGATTCTGACAATGCATCCTTCTTTTTCTCTTTGAATTCTTTTGCACAATTCTTTAAAAACATCAAATACATCAGACTTTTCCCTAATGAAGTTTATCCAGGTGAATCTGGAAAAATCATCCACAACAACATAGACATATCTCTTTCCATCAAGACTTTCCACCTGCATGGGACCCATCAGATCCATATGTAGAAGTTCTAGCGCCTTAGAGGTGGTCAGATGTCTTGTCTTTGGATGTGACATTCTAGTTTGCTTTCCAACCTGACATTCACCACAGACTCTCCCTTCATCAATCTGAAGCCTTGGAATCCCTCTGACAGCCTCCATGGATATGATCTTTTTCATCCCTCTAAGATGTAAATGACCAAGTTTTTGGTGCCACAGTTTCACTTCATTTTCTTCTTTTGCTATAGAGCACACAGAAGAGTAGTTAGTGTTCTCAGACTCCCATAAGTAACAGTTGTCTTTTGATCTGACTCCTTTCATTACAACTTCTTGTTTTTCATTAGTTACAAAACATTCAGACTTGGTGAAGTTGACCTTGAATCCTAGATCACATAGTTGACTGATACTTATGAGACTAGCAGTCACACCATTTACCAGCAATACTTCATTTAGGTTTGGAACTCCAGGTCAGTCCAAGTTTCCAACTCCTTTGATTTCTCCTCTAGCACCATCTCCAAAAGTGACATAACTAGTAGTATGAGGTTTGACATCATTCAGCAGATTCCTGATTCCAGTCATGTGTTTAGAGCATCCACTATCAAAGTACCAGTCTTCCTTGGCAGAAACTCTAAGGGAGGTGTGAGCTATCAGGGCTGCAGTCTTTTTCTTCCACTGTTGAGTATATGGTTCCTTGTTAGTCTTAGGTTTGGCATATGGGGTCTGATTAGGATATCCATATAATCTGAAGCAGAATGGCTTTATGTGACCAAACCTCCCACAATAATGACATCTCCGTCTTTGATACTTTTTCTTCATATTTCTCTGTTCTTGATGTTGAGTCCTATGTTGTGACATCTGCTTTGACATTTGTTTATCAGACCTGGTCTTCTTCTTGTCAACAACAGATTTCTTTGCAGCCACAAATCCTAGACCAGACATGTTTCCTGCATTTTGTCCAGCCTGAAGGATTTCTTCCAACTTGTCAGTTCCATTTGTTAACATCTTGACAGACTTAGTCATCTGATCAAGTTTGGAGTTCAACATTAGAACTTCACCTTCGAGATGACTTATAGTAGCAGTGTCTGCCTTCTTCTCACCCTCCAACTTCATTATGAGCTTTTTCTGTTTCTCATTTTGCTGACAGACTTCAGCGCTTCTGATACATAGCTTCTTGTAGGAGTCAGCAAGTTCTTCAAATGTCACTTCCTCATCCCTAGAATCATTATCAGAGTTACAAACACCAGACAGTGCAGTAACTAGTTTAGCAGATTCTTCTTCAGAGTTACTTTCTGAGTCACCATCAGACCAAGTAACAGACATTCCTTTCTTTTGTTTCCTTAGAAAGGTAGGACATTCAGCTCGAATGTGCCCATATCCTTCACATCCATGGCATTGGATTCCTATGCTTTGATTTCCCTTTTCTTCAGACTTAGTTCTTCTGCGGGAGTCATAGGATCTGCTAATGTCAGAGGAAATGTTCTTGACATTTGACCTTGACTTTGGGTCCATTCTCTTGATGAGTTTGTTGAACTGTCTTCCAAGCATAGTTATAGCTTCTGATATATTCTCTTCACCACTCTCCTTGCATTCATCTTCAGTATTGGAAACAAGGGCTATGCTCTTGTTTTTCTTGTCAACATTATCACTGATCCCCATCTCAAATGTATAAAGTGACCCAATGAGTTCATCAACCTTCAAGTTGCAGATATCCTGAGCTTCCTCTATAGCAGTCACTTTCATTGCAAACCTTTTAGGCAAGGATCTGAGAATCTTTCTCACCAGCTTTTCTTCTGACATCTTTTCTCCCAATGCTCCTGAGGTGTTGGAAATTTCCAAGATGTTCATGTGAAACTCATGAATGGTCTCATCTTCCTTCATCCTTAGATTCTCAAATTTGGTAGTGAGCATCTGAAGTCTTGACATTTTTACTTTGGATGTACTCTCATGGGTGGTTTTGAGAGTGTCCCAAACATCCTTGGCCAATTCACATTGATGTACTAGTCTGAATATGTTTCTATCAATTCCATTGAACAAGGAACTCAAAGCTTTAGAGTTACCCAGGGCTAACTCTTCTTCTTCTTTGCTCCATTCTTCCTCAGGTTTCAGACTAGTCGTCCTATCTTTCTCAGTTATGGTGGGATGGTTCCATCCTTTGTCAGCAGCTCTCCAAGCTTTCTTGTCCAGTGACTTCAAGAAGGAAATCATACGAGGTTTCCAGTAGTCATAGTTTGATCCATCCAGAATAGGTGGTCTGTTCCCAAATCCTCCTTCCTTGTCCATAGCGCCAGAAAATAATATCCCTAGATCTCACCCAGAAAGACAGGCAGGGTGCCCGCTCTGATGCCAATTGAAATTCTGGCAACAGATACTTAATGTCACAGTGAATATTATGACATCGTATCTAACAAATTGTACACAAACCAAACAGTAATTTAAAAGACAGTAAAGAACACGATCAATTGTTAACCCAGTTCAGTGTGTAACAACACCTACATCTGGAGGCTACCAAGCCAGGGAGGAAATTCACTATAAGAGGTATTAATTTAGGAATAAACCAACCAGTTTATCTCCTTCACTTAAGACCTACCCAATGCAACTTCAATCTAAGTCCTACTTAAACCTGAGTTCCTACTCACTCCCCCTCAATCACAGCAGTGATACTAATCTACTGATTAATAAGATTATGAAGACATTTTTCAATATACACGCTTGATTTTGCTTCAAAGCTTTAATCAAGAGACACAACACTCGTGCTTCAAAGCTTTGAGTGATAAACAACCCTTACAACCAAATCCTACTCCAATTCACTTATCAAGTGATAATTGCTTGGCTCACAGTAGTTACTAAAACTATCACAACTATACAATGCCTTATTGATCTTCTCTCCAAGCGCTACTCACCATTAGACTTCGTGAGAAATATATATGCAGTCTATTCTTCATTTTTGGGCTTCCATAAAAATAGCTAGGGTTAACCAAAGTTAACCTAAAGACTTGGTCTTGGGCTTTCATCATAACAGATTAGGGTTAAGCAAGGTTAACCTAAATATCCACGTGAGTATCTGATCTAGTCAATATACTTCAACTCAGAATAGCACACCAGATTCCTGAAAAATCTCTGGAACAATAAATCTGCACAACAACTTGATCAGTACAGGATGTCTTAACATTGGTTATGACATCATGTATCTTGCTCACTGATTTTGGTAGAATTCAGTATATATGATCATAGCTTAATCATCATGATATTCACTCATACTAAGTTGTTCCTGTAGAACATTCCTTATGCAGAATTTGACTTTATCCCAGAATATTATGACATCAGTCATGACATTCGCAAATCTGATTTTACCAAAAATTAATGTCAACAAGCAAACACTTACCGATTTTGTTTCAATTTATAAATTTATAATTTTGTCTCTCAATTACTTCATTTATGATGCTTGATTCTATGTCCATAATACATTGATTTGAGGTTGACAAAAAGGCTCAACCAACCATAGATTTTTTAACGTTTGTGGTGGTGTAAAGTTTTAAAGTCTCATATATGTGGCTATTGGAAATATGAAAATATTGATCAGTTCCTAATTATATCCTATGATGTTTAACATAGCCTTTATTTCATCGGTATTTAGTTTGCCTAGCATAATGAATTTTATTAAGAAGTTTTATAGATCAAACTCTCTAAAATTAACATAACCACTCTACAAAAAAGATTGATCATCTCCATTATTCTTTTGCAACATGCTAAATACATATTCTCACAACAAACATAACAAAGGAAATTGAAACAAACATTTTTTTAAAACCTACAAAGAAGAAGTAATGAAAGCAGATCCTGGAGCAGCCTTAGTAGATTTGTTAACCTTGTTATTGTTAAGAACACTGTGCAACTCTACAACAAACCTCTCCATAGCTTGAGCTGGCAAACAAACAGGAATAACCAAACCTTTCTCTCCTTTACCATTTACAAAAGGTATATAAAAGCTAGCAACACCAGGAACAGCACCAACTCCTCCTTTAGCCGGTCCACCATAAACAGCTTTTCCCCAACCAAAATCAACATCTCCAAATCCAGCGCGAGTCACATCAGAAACAAGAAACGACCTCACCACGGTAAAATGAGGTCGACCCTTGAGAACCATTAGATCCGCAACGGAATGCATGTACTCTTGAGTGACATCACCTTTCGCTTTTTGAACTAACTCCAATGCGTATCCCATTGGATTTTCAATTAGCTTTCCTGCCGTTGTAACCGCGACAGGAAATGCAAACGCGTTACCGTAGAAACCTTTTGGTAAAGGTGGATTGAATCTGCTTCGTGAATTAACGATGCAGATTATACGAACTTCTTCGTCCGCGTCTGGCTGTAAAGCGATTGTGCGACAACGCCACAGGCATGCAGTTAAGATTTCAAAGTTGGAGCGTTTTTGTTGGTGAGGCGGAAGAAGTGTTCGGATTGCGACGAGTTCGGAGGGGCCGAAGAAGAAAGAGCGGTGAGCCATGTCGTCTAAGGGGATGATGGTTCCTTTGGTGTCAGGTATTTGTTCGTATTCCCGGTGACTACATGTTACTCTTGGTGGGTTTCTTGCATTCAGAACCTCTCTGTTCCACAGTGGTGGAATTGAAGGTTCTTTCATTCCACGACATATTTCGCCTAAGGCACTCATGAATTGGGTTAAACCCGCTGCGTCCCCCATTGTATGGTTTAGTCGAAGCGCGAAAATGAAACCGCCGCAATTCAGACGTGTTACCTGTGCAAGTAATGAATCAATTAACGTGTAATTCTAAACAAAACAAACCTCTGTTTTTTTAGATGAGTGGATCCAAGCATTTCAAACATATAGAAAAGTTCCATGCATGATATAAATACCTGAATAACCATGAGAGGAGTATTAAGAACTTGTGAAGAGCCAGGAACATCAAAAAGAAGTTGATCCAAACAAGGAAAAGGAGGCTGAAGAGCATCACCAAAATCCTTCAAACTAACATCAGCATCAGCTTCAATGAACAAAACACCTTCTTCATTACAATCCACCATAAGTTTTCTACCAGGACCTTCTCTCAACCTACCTGCAAATGGATAATAAAACACAAGCGTTCTCGCAAGTGCTTTTCTAATAACATCAACAGGGTCCTTCCCTGCCATATTTGGATCATACTTGTAAAATTGTATCACTGGAATTTGAAAACGTAACCCATCTTGGTCATCTATGTCTGACAGAAGTTTGATTTCATGAGGGGTTGGTTTTGATGGAGTTACAAATTCAGGGGCACGTCTCTTCACTGTGAATAAAAGAGATTGGGCCATAGTTATTATGAACAAATAAAGAAACGGTACTAGTTAATTTGTATATGCAAATACCGAATGTTAAGAGTGGGTGTATATATAATTACAACATGCAATGGTATGTCCCACATCGTGCTAGTGCATTTATTTATTTACACTGTTCACAATTTTTGTCTATCCTAATACATCTATCTACCTTTTACTTGTGGACCCTTAAAATTTTATTATGTTACCCATCAATCGCAATAAAAGTAAATTTCTGAATAAATGCTGCAGGACCACACCATGGATTTTTCTTCAACTTTTAATAACCACTATTTTTAATAATCATCACTATGTTTTTCCTTTTTAATGTATTGTGCGGTTATGAAACATTTTAATTTGGTTTTTTTTTGCTCAGCTAATTCTGGTTTTTTTTTTAGCATAAAGTTGGATACCGATTTTTTTTCTCTTTTGCATTCAAAACTTGTACAGCGAAATTATGATATTGATCGAATATTATTTCCATCATAATAAAGATATCTTTAATATAAATCATTTTAAAATTTTAATTTGTTTTAAAATAAAATAAAATAAAAAATAACACACTGAACACTGTTTGATGAATTGAAAGGATGAATATTCAATTAAATTTAAAATACAATGCGTTATATGTATCATTACTTTTTTAAACCAACTCTTATAACCTTGTCTAGTTATGATTTTTAATTATAACAATGTCATTTATGAAATTAATTTCTATATTTTAAATAAATAATTTTAAATTTCACTCGCATATTTTTTACATAGAATTGATTTTCTAAATATTTTGTAATAAAATTTAATTGATATATATATATATATATATATATATATATATATATATATATATATATATATATATATATATATATATATATATATATATATATATATATATATATATATATATATATATATATATATATATATATATATATATATATATATATATATATATATATATATATATATATATATATATATATATATATATATATATATATATATATATATATTAACAGTGTCAAAAAATATCACAACAACACATCCTGTCCTGTAACACATGATCAAAATCTTTAACAAGAAAGAATCAACATTTAGTTTTTTGAATCATGGCAGCGGAAATCATAGTTCAAACACTTCATTATAGTACTTCATAAAATTAGTCATACTTTATAATTCATATTTATAAATCAAAACATCTCGAGTACCACGTAAGGTGACTCAACATCTTAAAACAAAACAAATAACATAAGTTCCAATCATTCAATCTCTACCCCGATGTTACATATCAGAGAAGAACCTCCTGTATTCAACAAAAGCAAATAAACACACTCCGAAGCTATCCTTTAATGCTTCTACAGACTATTCTTGATCACCTGCGCGTTACCCACATGGAGGTAACATTCAAACAGAAAGGGTGAGTAAATCATAATCATTATATAAGACATAAGGAATAGACGTAGTAAATATGCACATAACCAATGCATCACATGTCATCATATCTTCATGTTATACTCACACCTTCACCACTTCTTTAATATACGAACACATATCATCATACACAATGTATCATTAAGTATCACAGATAAATCATTATGCAATGCCACGTAGAATGTAATGCAACATCATAGACTCATCCATGTGGTACCAAAACTTCACTAATGACCCAGTCATCGTTATCTCCAAAGATCCCCATCATAGAACCGATTCCCGCTTGGAACCATAGCACTTCACTGTTGCACCCAATCCACACTATGGGATTGTTGCCTTCATTGGACAATCGTCATATCATCTTCACTGGACCAAAGTCCTAACTTCACTGAAACTAAGTCCTAAACTATGCCATGAATACAATGACGCGTAACAACATATTTAATATGACCACGGCTAGTCAACACGCATCACCATTCATGATTTATCACAATTATCATCATATCATCATAGTAATCAACACAACATCATAACATCATCATAGTAATCAATACAACACCATAACATCCTCATCATAATCAACACAACATCATATCACCATCTTAGTAATCATCACAACATCATAGTATCATCATAAACAAAGCATCATCATAAACAAAGCATCATCATAAACAAAGATCTTCTTTTCCCCTAATTCCTTGTATAACCTTTAGACCCCTAATATCAAACTTCCCAAATTGTCCTTACTTATTCTCCCCTAATTACCATAATACCCTTAATCTCTATACATCATATATTATTCTATTTTTCCCAATTAAAATAATTCTAAACAATTATTTTAATTATTCCAAAATACTAATAAACCTCTTACTTAGTCTAATTCCCACTACGCTACACATAGTAACCCATGATACATCATAGTCATCCAAACATCATATTCAAACATCATATTTATCTCAATCACCATGGTACACTCCATATTCATCATAATCTCACAAATTACAATAAAGACTCACATTTAATCATCAAAACATCAAATACTTCATATTGACTCATGTAATCATGCTAAATTAATCAATTAAATAAATAATATAGAATTCAGGGTGTCATAGTGCATCTCCACACACTATGCCAGAAATAACCTACGAAAGCGCTTTTTTTGGGCTTTAAAAGCGCTTAAAAGCGCTCTCGTAGGTGGCGCTGCTAAAGGTTTTAGCAGCGCTTTTTGTTCAGAAAAAAGCGCTCTCGTAGGCCTACCTATGAAAGCGCTTTTTGGTAAAAAGCGCTTTCATAGGTAGGCCTACGAGAGCGCTTTTTTTTGAAAAAGTGCTTTCATAGGTGTATTCAGAATGCGTGTCAGGCAATCTAAAGTAGGCCTATAAGAGCGCTTTTTGTTCAGAAAAAAGCGTTCTCGTAGGCCTACCTATGAAAGCGCTTTTAATCAAAAAGCACTTTCATAGGTAGGCCTACGAGAGCGCTTTTTTCTTAAAAGCGCTTTCATAGGTTTTCTACTGAAAAATCTAAAATTTAAAAAATTTCTAAACCTGCATTTTTTTGCAGCAAACCTGTAATTCTTAAACCGGTATTTTACAATCTAATCTAGAAATACCAATATATATTAGTTTTAATCCAAATACCAAATGTAATTCAAATACTAAATATTATATATATATATATACAAATACCATTATAATCAATTCATATCCAAAATATATATACACCATGGTAATTCAATATTAACATGTTTTTAAACGTAACAAAATACACCCTAAGAAATCAGCTATATAACACTAAGTAAATCAATCCTAATCTACATATATATTCAAGGTCCTGATCCTGCAATATGAACATAATAACACGGTCAGTGTTGTATACACAAAACAATATATTTATAATTAACTAATTTTCACACAACAATGTATTCGTACCTTATTATAAGATTCTTAGCTCAATAAAATATTGGCACAACTCCTCTTTGAGTTCTTCCAATTGACGTGGCGAGTAATATGGACAATTGTATTGATCAAAATACTACATTACAAAACAAAATATATGCATGATTTAGTTTAATGTAATAAATTATATGCAAAATCCGATAAGTAATAAAACAAAGTATAAATCCATACCGTGATTGGAATCTCGATTTCATTCATTTGAATGATTTCTTTGATAAAATTCAAAACGAAGTATCCGCAATCTATGTCGTTTTGTTGTTGAGGGCACTACATAGAAAAACAAATAAGATTATACTATAATGAAAAAAATGAAATGGCATATATATACATTTTATTGAATGACATTGTCTATAATTATATATACTATTACCTTTTTCACTAACATCTCTTTCTTTTATTGGTAGGAATATGTTCTACTCGTCTCTTAACAACGCGGACGGTTGGATTGATCCAAATACCCTCATTATGATCATTTCTAATGCATGATTCATTCTCATTTTGATCATTTCTGGTAAAAGATTCAATGTCAACACCAGTATCGCCTTGGTCTCCAATCTTTTCATCAATTACTTTGTTAGAGAAAAGCACTATAGACCATTTCGTACTTGTCGGATCAGTGACATAGAACACTTGTTTAGCTTGAGAGGCTAGAATGAAAGGCTCATCTTTGTACCCCGCCCTGTTAAGATTCACTTGCAAAAATCCTGACTTATCCATCCGTATACCATTATTATTTTCAACCCACTTGCAACCGAATATAGGAATCTGAAATTTCTCGTAATCAAAGACCCAAATGCGCTCGATAACCCCAAAATACGACAGATTTGCAAATTTCGGGTTTAAGTCCTTCACACTAGATATGTGCATTGCTTCAGCTACCAAGGTGACACCACTATTTTGCACAGTACTTTTATCATCTTGTTCTTTGGTATAAAATGTGTATCCATTAATTGCGTATGCGCTATAAGAAAACGCAACCAAACTTGGACCATATGCTAAACATCTCAACCTTTTTGTCACTGAGGCGGGATCTGAATGATACTTTGAATAAATATGTTCCTTAAACCATGGTATGAAAATTCGATTGTGCTCTCGTACAATCTAATTCTCATTTCTATTCGAATTTAAACCTCGAAGAACACCCTTGTGTATTTCAACATACGGCTCAACCTCAATCTCATTGTGCAGAACATACAAATACACTTGATCCCGTTCGACCCTTGATACTGTCACAACTTTATTTCCAATTAGCTTCTTACCTTCTTTTTTTTCAACAACATGAGATTTGGGGAGTCCAATTGATTGAACATTTGACAAATATTCAGTACAAAACTCAACCGCTTCTTCAACAATGTATCTTTCGGCAATACAACCCTCTGGTCGACTCCGATTTTTCACATACCCTTTTAATATTTTCATATAACGTTCAGCAGGGTACATCCATCTCATATAAGCTGGTCCGCACAATTGTGTCTCTTTCACAAGATGAACGACAAGATGAACCATTATGTCAAAAAACGAGGGAGGAAAATACATTTCAAGCTCACACAAAGTAACAACTATTTCTTTTTGCAATGTTGGCAAGATCTCAGGATCGATCACCTTACTGCA